ATCATACATAAATTTATATGGGCGAAATTCTGCGCTACAATTCTCTTCTGGTACACAACACAGGCATAATCAGATTTCAGAAACGATTCAGGCATACAAACACACGACACATTCAGCAGGACAAATGGTGGGAAAAAGACATTTATTATAACAAGAAATACATCTATAAGATAGAACTGCAAATACATACACATAATGTATTCTCATATTTAAACGTATTAGTAATGTATATACAAGTGCATGTTTGTTAAAGATGCAAGCAATTTGTAGGGGCCCACAATGCCTGTAACGCCCCTCTCTCACTCTCTCGGTGACAGTAAGTCTCCTACCCCACACAACTCGTTTATCATTTGAGGCAGGTCATTCTGAGAATGTTTAAGATTGTCATAACAAGGTATTAAGACATTTAAAAGGGATTATAAAGAGCTTATTGAAATTGAAATCTGAAGATACACGCACACGTACGAACATAAGACTACAGCCAGATGCATATCTGGTTGGCTCCTCTTGCCGCAGCGACAAATTGTTTTTGGTTCATTGTTTGTGTGCTTAAACGTGTGAATATTTAGTTGCTGTTGTTGTATGAAGATAAAGAAGATATAATTAATTATAAAATAATTATAATTAAGTATAATTAATGGTGAAAAATTATTTAATTGATATTTTATAATTGTTTTTGAGTAAAAGGTTTAAGAGGTAACCTTGAGCAGAGAAATTACTTTAAGAACTCATTCGGATATTATAGGTAATGAGGGAGCTTTACTGTGACATAGCTCTCAAAACAACAAGTCATTTGAAAATTCCCGGGAAATTATACATTTCTCACTACATTTTTAGTTAATTTACAAATTTTGTATATTTTTTACAAAATAATTTCCCAATCGTATTCAATTGTCTAGTTCCTAATTGTTTTCAAATACCCCCTGTTATTTCATTTCTGTTAACATGTAACAGTAAAATCATGCTGTTAACATATAACATTTTATACAGAAGTAATTTCTGTTACTCAGTCTGCACACTAAAAAAGAGAGTATTATTTCAAATAGGAACAAAATGGTAAGGAAAACTCTTATACAAATTACTACAAACACTTTTTAAGAGAAAAATACAAATTGAAAAGAGAATATTATTAATGAGTGCAGACATAAAACAGTAAATTTACAGAATTTAACTGTTACTTTTTAAATTACTACAGCAATCAATATTTTGATTAAACTGTTGAAAATATACAGAAATTTTTATGTGATTTTTAAGACAATAAAATGTTACTTTGAACGATATTAAAGAAACTTTAATAAAAAGTAGGTATAAAGTACTACAGAGTAATGTATTACAAACTAATTTCAACTGTAGAAAAGAAGAATAATACAGTTCATTAAGAGATATTCAACTGTTTTTTAACACATACTGCCTATATATGTACATACATATGTACATACATATGTATGTACTCAGAAAATAATGACTGCTTTTTGTTGAAAATTTTAATACAAATTTAATAATCGAACTACATTTTTTAAGAGATTTTAAGTTTAAGTCCAGTTCAGTTCAATTTCTGTCTAATTTTCTTCTAGTTCTGTTTTAGTTCTGTTCTAGTTCTGTTCTAGTTCTGTTTCAGTTCTGTTCTATTTCTGTTCTAATTCTGTTTTAGTTCTGTTTTAGTTCTGTTCTAGTTCTGTTCTAGTTCTGTTATAGTTCTGTTCTAGTTTTTTTCTAGTTCCATTTTAGTTCTATTCTAGTTCTCTTCTAGCATGTTTAATTCAGTTCTGTTCTGGATCTGTTCTAGTTCTGTTCAATTTCTGTTTTAGTTCTGTTCTAGTTCTAGTTCTGTTCTAGTTCTGTTCTGTTCTGTTCTAGTTCTGTTCTAGTTCTGTTTCTAGTCTGTTCTAGTTCTGTTCTGTCTAGTTCTGTTCTAGTTTCTGTTCTAGTTCTGTTCGTTCTAGTTCTGTTCTGTTTCTAGTTCTGTTCTAGTTCTGTTCTAGTTCTGTTCTAGTGTCTGTTCTAGTTCTGTTCTAGTTCTGTTCTAGTTCTGTTCTAGTTCTGTTCTAGTTCTGTTCTAGTTCTGTTCTAGTTCTGTTTCTAGTTCTGTTCTAGTTCTGTTCTAGTTCTGTTCTAGTTCTATTCTAGTTCGTTCTAGTTCTGTCCTAGTTCTGTTCTAGTTCTGTCTAGTTCTGTTCTAGTTCTGTTCTAGTTCTAGTTCTGTTCTAGTTCTGTTCTAGTTTCTGTTCTAAGTTCTGTTCTAGACCTGTTCTAGTTCTGTTCTAGTTCTGTTCTAGTTCTGTTCTAGTTGTCGAGTTCTAGTTATCTGTGTTCTGTTCTAGTTCTAGTTCTAGTTCTAGTTCTAGTTCTAGTTCTTTCTAGTTTCTAGTTCTAGTTCTAGTTCTGTTCTAGTTCTGTTCTAGTTCTGTTCTAGTTCTGTTCTAGTTCTGTTCTAGTTCTGTTCTAGTTCTAGTTCTAGTTCTGTTCTAGTTCTGTTCTAGTTCTGTTCTAGTTCTGTTCTAGTTCTGTTCTAGTTCTGGTTCTAGTTCTTTTCTAGTTCTGTTCTAGTTCTGTTCTAGTTCTGTTCTAGTTCTGTTCTAGTTCTGTTCTAGTTCTGTTCTAGTTCTGTTCTAGTTCTGTTCTAGTTCTGTTCTAGTTTCTGTTCTAGTTCTGTTTCTAGTTCTGTTCTAGTTCTGTTCTAGTTCTAGTTCTAGTTCTGTTCTAGTTCTGTTCTAGTTCTGTTCTAGTTCTGTTCTAGTTCTGTTCTAGTTCTGTCTAGTTCTGTTCTAGTTCTGTTCTAGTTCTTTCTAGTTCTGTTCTAGTTCTGTTCTAGTTCTGTTCTAGTTATGTTCTAGTTCTAGTTCTGTTCTAGTTCGTTCTAGTTCTGTTCTAGTTTCTGTTCTAGTATCCTAGTTCTATTTTCTTCTAGTTTCTATTCTAGTTCTATTCTAGTTCTATTCTAGTTCTTTCTAGTTCTGTTCTAGTTCTCTTAGTGCTAGTTCTCTTTAGTTCTGTTCTAGTTCTGTTCTAGTGCTGTTCTTAGTTCTGTTCTAGTTCTGTTCTAGTTCTCTTCCAGTTCTGTTCTAGTTCTGTTCTAGTTCTGTTCCTAGTTCTGTTCTAGTTCTGTTCTAGTTCTGTTTCTAGTTCTGTTCTAGTTCTGTTCTAGTTCTGTTCTCGTTCTGTTCTAGTTCTGTCTAGTTCTGTTCTAGTTCTGTTCTAGTTTCTGTTCTAGTTCTGTTCTAGTTCTGTTCTAGTTCTCTCTGTTCTAGTTCTGTTCTAGTTCTGTTCTAGTTCTGTTCTAGTTCTGTTCTAGTTCTGTTCTAGTTCTGTTCTAGTTCTAGTTCGGTTCTAGTTCTGTTCTAGTTCTGTTCTAGTTCTCGTTCTGTTCTAGTTCTGTTCTAGTTCTGTTCTAGTTCTGTTCTAGTTCTGTTCTAGTTCTGTTCTAGTTCTGTTCTAGTTCTGTTCTAGTTATGTTCTAGTTATGTTCTAGTTCTGTTCTAGTTCTGTTCTAGTTATGTTCTAGTTCTGTTCTAGTTCTGTTCTAGTTCTGTTCTAGTTCTGTTCTAGTTCTGTTCTAGTTCGGTTCTAGTTCTGTTCTAGTTCTGTTCTAGTTCTGTTCTAGTTCTGTTCTAGCTCTGTTCTAGTTCTGTTCTAGTTCTGTTCTGGTTCTGTTCTAGTTCTGTACTAGTTCTGTTCTGGTTCTGTTCTAGTTCTGTTCTAGTTCTGTTCTAGTTCTGTTCTAGTTCTGTCCTAGTTATCTTCTAGTTCTGTTATATTTTTGTTCTAGTTCTGTTTTAGTTCGGGTTTCATTGTTATTTAAACAAGAATTTCCTGCTTATCTTTGTATTAATTAAAAAATTCCAAGATATCTATCTGCCTTTTACTATTTTTCATGTTAAACTTTTAGCAACATTGAGAAATTTTCATTTGTGTTATTAAATAAATCAAAAATTAAGATAAATAGTATTTTCAGGTGCAAAAACCTATAATACACTTTACGAGTAAAATATCTCTCTTTTACAGTTTAAAACTCTCTTTAACAGTTACCAACTAGCACTTGCTGAAACAAACACATAAAAACGAGGAGTAAATCCAATCAGAGAAAAAAATTATATTACTTTTTTACACAAAATGTATACAAATTGTTGCTGTTAACTACTCACACGTGAGACGGCTACTTACAATGTAAGGGTAAAGGATACAAACAAGTATAACGTTAGAAATGTTGTTGAGGGTTTTTGACTCTTGCTATAGAATATTTTAACGTTATATAGGAGAATAAACATTACTTTATAACGTGGAAAAACGTTAACACATGTGTGATGAGTAAATATGAGAGTTTATGCTCTCATATAATGCTCTCGGGCTCTTTGCAACCCTAACAAAAAAAGACTTTTGCTGGTTTTTTAGATTTGAAAAGAAAACGAATGTTGTTGGTGGTGGCTGGCTGACAGACAGACAGACTAACTGAGTGAGGAACACGGTGTTTATGTGTGTGATGTTTTGTTTTTGTTATACATTGTTATTGTTGTTGGTGATTTTTACAAGACTCGCTAGCAATTACAAGAACTCTAGGCAAGTTAGTCTCCATGTAACGTTTGTCGTATAAACAACATAGTTTAGTCGATGTCGCGTAACGTAAACGCGTCTAACGGTACGGTTTTTGTTTTGTTGGTTTTTGGTTTATTTGAAAAATGAAAAATAATAATAATAGCTATAACAACAACAACAAACAAACATGCTTAGAAATATAGCACTAAAAACGTTAAAATATCGATACGAAGTATAAAGTAAATTTGTAACTGTAACGAATAGAAAAGAAATTTTGAAACGAAAATTTAATACCTATAAAAAGAAACGAAGTGTTTAAAAGCAAAAAAGAGAAGTGTGGGTACAAGAATATTAAAATGTTTAAATTTAAAGAAATTAAAAATAAATTCTTAAAAAGAATTTTAGAATTTTGAAAATAACAAAAAAAAAATTCCTTTCAAAAAGTAAAGAAAAACAAAGTTTTAAAGAAAAATATTTAAAAAAAACAAAAATTATTAAAAAAAAAATTTTTCAAAAAAAAGTTTTAAAGAAAAAAATTTTTAAAAGAAATAAAAATTTTAAAATTTAAATAAAAAGTTGAATAAATAAAACGTTAGCATATCAATCTTTAAAAAAACAGGTTAAATAAAAATTAATAAATTTAAAAAAATAAAGAATTTAAAAAATAATAAGAATTAAAATTGATTTTTGTCAAAAAAGAAAAAAAAAAAACACAAAAATTAAAACAAATTTTTTTTTACAAAAAAAATTTTGATAAATTTAATTTAAAAAATTAGCACTAATTGCTAATATTTGTGTTACTGTTGCGTGTGTGTGTGTGTATCTGTGTTTTGTTTTTCAAACAAATTGTGGATTTTTAATTACCGCTGATTTTGATTTTTGGATTTTTCTTCTTGTTATTATTTTGATTTCCTCGATATTTATAACATTTTCTTGGGGAAAACAAGAAATATATTAAACAAATAATACTCAACTGGAATACAAGTAATATTATAGTTAAAAATTATTACTCTACAAAACAACTAAAACGGTAAGTCTTGGAAAAGGAATGAAAAGAAAATTTTGAGTTTAAAGTGTTTTTTTAAGGGAAAGGAAGGTGTTTCTAGTCTTTTTCTAGGTCTTTTTCAGCAGGGACTTAGACAAAATGTTGAAAAAGTGAAATGAAAGAAATGAAAAATTATGAAAAACTCTTAACATTTTTTTAAAGAAATTTTCTTCTAATTGAAAGACAAAATACTGTTCAAATAGACATTTTTACTGAAAAACTTTAAAGTGGTAAATTTTTGCATAGAAACTTGTTTACAATTTGAAAAATTTACAAAAAATTCAAATTTTTCTTAGGAAATTTTTTGGTTTTTGAACTAAAATATCTCAGTTAAACTTTAAAGGATTTAAGTGAAATTCTTTTAATAAAAAGTTAAAGCTCTTGTAGTTCATTTTCAAAAAATTTTAACTTAATAACTTCAAAACTAATGATTTTAGAAAGAAAATAACAAAAAATGAAAAAAATTAAAAAATGAAAAAAATTAAAAAATTAAAATTTTTCTTAGGAAATTTTTTGGTTTTTGAACTCAAATATCTCCAAAATATTTTATGGAATTCAAATGAAATTCATTTAATAAAAAGCTAAACTTTTTAGTTTGATATATAGAAAATTTCAACTCAATAACTTTAAAACTAATGATTTTAGAAAGAAAATAACAAAAAATCATAAAAAAATAAAAACATTTTTTTTATAAAATTTTTTAGTTTTTAAACTAAAATATCTCAGTTAAACTTTAAAAGATTTATGTGAAATTCAATTAATAAAAAGTTAAAACTCTTGTAATTCATTTTCAAAAAATTTCATCCCAATACCTTTAAAACTAAAGATTTAAAAAAGAAAAGAACAGAATGTGAATAAAAAAATTTTATTTTTTATGAAATTTTTTGGTTTTTAAACCGATATATCTCGATAATATTTTATGGGATTTAAAAAATATTCAATTAATAAACAGTTGAAACTCTTGTAAACCAGTTTCAGAAAATTTGATTCCAATAACTTCTAACTTGATGATTTTAGAAAGATAATAACAAAAAATAAAACAAAATTTAGAATTTTTTAATAAATTAAAAAAAAAAAAAAAGTAAATTTGTCCAAAAAAATAGAATTTCTTTAATAATCTTTTTGTGACTCGCGATTTATTCACGAATTCTTGTAAAATTAAGAAATGTTTAATTTTGTTGAACAAGTTGTTAAATGAATAAGGGGGCAAACAAATTACAAATGAAATAAATTACGATTTTAAATTTATTAAATCTACTCATTCCCATTTGTAGTAAAGATTTTGTAAAAATCGCGATTATCTTACGAATTTTAATAAAAAAATTCTTCATTTCGTTTTCATATGAATTTCATATTATTTTATTTTTGTTTTTTAAATAAATTTTATTAAATTATGCTTATTACTACCACATCTTAACATTTTTGGTAAAATACTAAAAGATAAAACTCGCGATTATGCTATCAATTTTATCAAAGAATCTTTAATTATTGTTATTTTTTTTTTTTTTTTTTTTTCGATAAAATAACAAATCTAATTTTATTTGCAAGGCAATCAACTATATTAATCTGCTTTTACTAATTTAATTTTATTAAAACTATACATTCTCCTAAATTTTTCAAAGAAATCGCGATTATTCCCAGAATTTTGTTTAACAAACTTTACATTTTCTTTGCGTTAACATTAGAATTTCAAAGTTTTTAAAAGTTTTAATTAAAATTTAATAAATAACTGCTGTTTAAAACCACTACTTGCCATTTCTGATAAAATACCCGAAAAATTCGCGATTTTTCCAAGAATTTTTTGTTTAAAAATTATTTCATTTAAATGTAGAAATTTTTTTCATCACTTTTTCATTAATTTAATTCATAGTAAATCCTAAGATTAGCATTTCTTAATTCTTATACCAAGAATATTAAAATTAAGAAAAAAACTCGCGATTATTCCAGGAATTATTTTTTTTAAATTTCATTAGAATTTATATGAATTTAATTGCTGATCTTCATTAAATTGAATTGAAGAACTCTTGTTATTAAGATTTTAAACATTTATATGTAAAACATGTTTAAACTCACGATTATTCCAAGAGTTTTTTTTCAACAAAATTCCTTTTATTTTAATATTCTTGGTATAAAAATTAAGAAATGTTTATCACAGGATTTACTATGAATTAAATTAATGAAAACTAGTTGAAAAACTAATTTTACTAAATTTAAATAAAATTAAATTCTTGGAATAATCGCGAATTTTTTTGGGTATTTTACCAGAAATGGTAAGTAGTTGTTTTAAATTTTTCCTAAAAAAATTCCTCTTAGATTTTAATATTTATATTAAAATTTATTATCTGGCTGTAACAGACTCATAATTTTTCTGTATACATTAGGGAAAAAAAACCTAGAAAGCAACCTTGCACAAGTGCTTGAAAATGTATTTAAAATGAATGCGACGCATATGTGTAAATCTACTACACACCCGTGCTAATATTTTAGCAAACATTTATAGTAGTTCAGACATAGAATGTTGTATATACTCGAAAAGAATTTGTGTGTCATGTCAAAACTATAAAAATGAATTTTATACTTATGAGGCTACAAATAACAAAATTTTTCAGTAGGAGAGACATTGTTAAAGAATATTTTTTGCAAAAATATGTAAAAATTGTCTGCGTGTATGTTTAAAATAAGCGTTATTTTCAAAATTTTGAGCTTTTATTTTGAAACATTTTTAGAATAAAAATTGCTTTAAAATATAGACCACCATAAGACTTTGTTTGACACTAATAGAATTGCTTCTACGAATGAGCCCAATTGCAAATACCCTGTTTTGAAGTGAAGCTTATGCCATAAAAAGGCTACTAAAGGGATCGAAACAAATAGTAGTCGGTCCGGACTTTAACAAGCAACATTTCGCCAAAGCGAGTGCTTTAAACGAATCAATTTCATTTCGTAAAGATTCTCGACGATGGTCTCGGATAGGCTTATAATATATAGGACCCAGTTCAATTTCCTAGCGGTTCAAAGCTTTTAAAACATATCGAGTTGCAGAGCGTTTCAAAAGCTTTAAAAATTATTCCGGTTCCAATTAAAAAACATTATTTTCTTAAAAACATCTTGATTTCAGAAAATATTAATGAATTCAAAGTTAATTTTTGATTAGTTACATGTACATACAAACTGACACATGTCAGTTTTGTGGTGATTATCAAAAAAAGTTTATAAAACGTGATAACTTAATTAAAAATCTATAATTTCATTAAAAAAAAAACGGAAATATGGAAAGGCGGATGGACGGACATATGTATGAACGGACGGACGGACAGCTGGATGTATGGACGGACATGTGAAATAATGCAAATTATTGTCCAAAGGCTAAATATCAAATTAATTTCAAATTATAATTAACTTTTTATAAGACCCTAAAGTTTAACATAATTATAACTTTATTAATAAAAATCTTAATAAAGTTATTAACTTTTCATATAGTTAATATTAATTTGAAAGTTTTTAATTTTTTTTCAATTTTATCTACAACCTGTTGGCAATTAATAACAAAAACCAGACTTTTTAAATTTTTATAAAAAAAATTTCAAAATTTTTTTTTTTTAATTTTTCTCCTTTTTTTTGTTTGTTAACATTTACATAAACATTTTTTTCTTTTGTTTTGTATAATTTATAATTTGTTTTAAATATTTATAAAAAACATTTTTATTTTCATAAAAAAGCACACAACTCTTGTCATTTCAATAAACAGTTGCTGCAGCAAGCAGCTGTAGTCTGTTTGATTTTTTAAACAAACCGAGATAAGAAAAGTGTTAAAATTTGTATATAAAGAAATTTATCAGATAATGTGGAAATTATTAACAAATTAACGCTTATTAGGACAAACAAAAGGGAAAAAACAGGTTGATTAAATTATTAAAAAACAAAAAATCGAAAAATAAAAATTTTAAATTAAATAAACAAAATTAATAAGAAGGAAAAACAAATGTGAAATTTAAATAAAACTAATCTGAAAGAAATTGTTATAGAAACAAATTAAAAAGTTCTAGTTCAGTTCTAGTTAAGTTGTAGTTCAGTTGCAGTTCAGTTGTAGTTCAGTTGTAGTTCAGTTATAGTTCAGTTGTAGTTCAGTTGAGTTCTAGTTTAGTTCTAGTTCAGTTCTAGTTTAGTTCTAGTTCAGTTCTAGTTCAGGTCTAGTTCAGTTGTAGTTCAGTTCTAGTTCAATTCTAGTTCAGTTCAAGTTCAATTCTAGTTCAGATCTAGTTCAGTTGTAGTTCAGTTCTAGTTCAGTTCCAGTTCAGTCCTAGTTCAGTTGTAGTTCAGTTGTAGTTCATTTGTAGTTCAGTTGTAGTTCAGTTGTAGTTCAGTTGTGGTTCAGTTGTTGTTCAGTTGTTGTTCAGTTATAGTTCAGTTGTAGTTCAGTTATTGTTCAGTTCTAGTTCAATTCTAGTTCAGTTCTAGTTCAGATGTAGTTCAGTTGTAGTTCAGTTATAGTTCAGTTCTAGTTTAGTTCTAGTTCAGTTCTAGTTCAGTTCTAGTTCAGTTCTAGTTCAGTTCTAGTTCTGTTCTAGTTCTGTTCTAGTTCTGTTCTAGTTCTGTTCTAGTTCTGTTCTAGTTCTGTTCTAGTTCTGTTCTAGTTCTGTTCCAGTTCTGTTCTAGTTCTGTTCTCGTTTGGTTCTAGTTCTGTTCTAGTTCTGTTCTAGTTCTGTTCTAGTTCTGTTCTAGTTCTGTTCTAGTTCTGTTCTAGTTCTGTTCTAGTTCTGTTCTAGTTCTATTCTGGTTCAGTTCTGGTTCTGTTCTAGTTCTGATCTAGTTCTGTTCTAGTTCTGTTCTAGTTCTGTTCTAGTTCTGTTCTGTTCTATTCTGTTCTAGTTCTGTTCTATTCTGTTCTAGTTCTGTTCTATTTTAGTTCTGTTCTATTCTGTTCTAGTTCTGTTCTAGTTCTGTTCTAGTTCTGTTCTAGTTCTATTCTAGTTCTGTTCTAGTTC